ACTGCAGGAACATCAGCTATCAACCAAATGGATCTCCTCATTGTTCTCTTTTAGAGATTTTATGCCAAAATTATGTGCTCCTAAAGAAATTTTTTGCAGTTTCTTCCATTGTGCCAAATTCCATCAGTACATAAAATTAAGGCATAAAATATCATTGGTTTATAAAAGTCATTGGAATACAAGGGCTGTCAGAAAAGTTTCTTTTTTCATAATGCAAGAAACATAAGACGGTTGTCTGTTCGACCTCAGTATTTTGATGGCAACTCAAATGAACAGAAGTGGAGGGAACTTGTTTGGGCATCACTTGAAAACTACCAATCAAAATTTCAGCTATTTTGAATGCGAATTTTTTGTTTGACAATTACTTTCGTGAGTTGATGTAGCCGTTTTTGTAAAAATTAGGTGGTGGTGGTGATGGGGAATCGAGTATTGTGCTGTCATTAGATACCTATTTTTTTAAAGGTAATACCCCTACTCAGATTAAATAGTAGTTGGACACAGTGTACAGGGAATCTGCACCATCATCAACCACTGCGAAATTTTGGGCAGCTGAAAACGTGGTCATAAAAAGCCTGGGTTACGATGAATGTTCAGTACAGCTAAAAACTGCAACAGGATTGCCACTCAAATAGGAAAATGAAATTCCCTGAATTTTCCAGGTGTGTTTTAAGAAAATACCAGTCTATCTGCATAATACACACTGGCTTTGCTAAGAGGTAAATTAATTATAGTACCACTTGAAAACACAAAAGTTTGCCATTTACATATGACATATATATATATATACTTATAACACATATGACTTATAATATATAATTCCCAAAGGATTACTATTATAACACTTTAAGGAGTTATTTTCTCCTCTGAAGATTCAGATTAGAATCTGCCCAATCTGGATTAAAAAATGTCTTCTTTGGCAGACATTTTTCAGCTAAACGAAAGAAAAATCTATTTAATGATATTTTTAAATAAATTCAGGTATTTTATACTTATTTAGTAGCATGCATAAGCAAAACATATATGCATTAAATTTTGTGATAGTATGTCATCATACTGCTAGAATTAATGTCAGGATTATGCAGAGAAACTTTCCTGAAATTTGAAGGTTTTATTTACTAATAATAAATAAACTTAGAGAGCAGAAGCAACATTAAATGACATAAATATGATTCAAATAAAGATAATTATTTAAAAATTGAATTGGAATAATCAACAATATTTTGGCTAATATAGTTAAATTAAATGGTTAGCCTAGGTGACTATTTACTATTTTATTTTACTGCAAAATGACAAATAAGGCATTAATTAAAAAAAAAAAAAAGGAAAAAGGAGCGTTAAAAAGATTTTGCGGTAAAATCTTAGTATACACTATGGCCTTGGCATGATTTTGAAAATTGTCGCCCACACCAAAATGACCCGTTTACTGCTCATCATAATATCCCCAATATTTTAACAAATTAGTTCAACAAATTCCCCGACTTTTCCAGATTTTGACTAAAATATTTAAATTCCCTGAATTTTTTGGTCAATTTTCAAATTCCCTGACTTTTTACTATTTTCCAGGTAGTGTGGCAACCCTGCTGCAATCACTAACGAACACATCGCTAAAATTCACCAAATGGTGCTGGAGGATGTCGAAGCAAGGTTAGAAAGATAGCAAAGGCAACGAGCACGTCCAAAGAACGTATTTGGCATATATTGAACCAAGATTTAGATAAGCGCAAGCTGGCTGCACGTTTGCTCCAAAAACCTGTCTGAATGAACATTTGCACCTTTCTGTTGGCGCAATAAATCGGAATTTCTTCAATTACTGATCACTGTAGATGAAACATGAACTCATCATTACAGCTGAGAAACAAAACCATAGTCAAAACAGTACACTGCAAAGGAAGAAACGGCTCCGAAAAAGGCAAAAAACAGTTCCTTCTGCTGGGAAAGTAATGACAACAATTTTCTGGGACAGCCATGGGATTGTCTTAATAAGTTATCTTGAAAAGGGATAAACCATTATTGGAGCATGCTATGCAATGTTACTTCACAAGCTGAAGGCAGAAATTGTGGAAAAACGGCCACATTTGCAAAAAATAAAAATCTTGTTTCACCAAGACAATGCTCTCACATTTCAGCGACTGCAATGACGAAAATATATTAATTACGGTTTGAGCTGCTTGACCACCCGCCCTGTTGGTCAGACATGACACTGCTCTTTCTGACACTAAGTGACAGTCAAAACAGTGGACTGTAAAGGGAGAATGGGCTCCAAAAATGATAAAAACTGTGACTTTGGCTCTAATGTAAAATTGGGTATCCTTTCGATTAGCGACAAATTTTGGCGATGAAACCACATTTCTGGTTACCACAATTCCTGATTTTTTTAAAATGAAAACAGATCAATATATACATGGACAAAGTTAAAGCAGTGTGCAATGCCTAGTTTATGTAATTCTTCAACTTTTTATTTTGGTTCTGTGTAGCGGCAATCTTGATATTATGCCTCCGTGGTGTCAATCTTGGCGCCAAAAACGAATTGCCAAAAAACAAGGGGTACCCAATTGTAAACTTTTACCATTCCTTCTGCTGGAAAAGTGATGGCCAAAGTTTTCTGGGACAGTCATGGGATTGTCTCAATAGATTATCTTGAAAAGAAAAACCATTAACGCAACATACTATGCAATGTTATTTAACAAGCGGAACGCAAAAATTGTGGAAAGACGGGCACATTTGCAAAAGAAAAAATTTTGTTTCACCAAGCCAATGCTCCATCACACACCACAGCAGTTGCAATGGCAAAATTCCATGAATCACAATTTGAACTGCTTCATGATCCATCCTAGTCAGCATCAAATAACTTTTTTTTTTATTCCCTAAGCTAAAAGTACTTGGAGGACAAAGATATGAGAAGACATTACAGAGAAAGATTCCACATATTATTTAGGCGGGTTAAAAGTATGCAAGCATCGCTGGAAGAAATGTATACACCTACAAGGAGACTATGTCGGAAAATAACGGTAATTTTGGAGAAGAAATAAGTTGGAAACTTTTAACAGTCTACGTACAAAAATGGTAACGGTAAAAGTTTACAATTGGGTACCCCTTGTTTTTTGGCGATTCTTTCTTGACGCCAAGATCGGCAACAGGAAGACATAATTTCATGATGGCCGCTACACAAAACCAAAATAAAAAGTCAAAGAATTGCATAAACTCTGTGTCCATGTACACATTGACCTGTTTTCACTTAAAAAAAATCCCAGAAATGCACAAAATAGGCATTGCGCACTGTTTAAATTTGTGCATGGACACATCAATGTATTTTATTTTTAAAAATCAGGAGACTAAAGCAAAGTTACACTATCATAGTAACGAGAAATAATATTTCATCGCCAAAATTTTACAAAAAAGTGTCGCTAAACGAAGAGGCACCCAATTCTACACTAGAGCTAAATGGTGACACTACTTGAATGAAGGATTGTTATTAGCATGGCTGCCTGAAAAATCATTATGCTCATGATTGGCAGTGTGACACATTCTGAAAATATGGAAAATTCTACCAAGATGGTAGTGATAACACATAAGTATCAATAGAAAATTAAAGGGGATATAAATTTCCCAGTCATTATCTTAATTTTTTAGACAATAGTCTCTTAACAAGAAAATCACCCTGTATGCACATGTAAATGTTGAAAAATAATAAACTTTAGCATGTGCTCATCTTACAAATAAGATTTTAAATCAACATACTGTTATGAGATTAAATTCTGTATTTTTCATCATTAAACTAGTATGCTTTCAGAATTAACCAAAAGGTATTGGAATCACTTCGGCTAGTGCTTAGTTCCGAGTTTTACAAGAATTTGTTGGACTTTTAATGTATCACTTGACACATAATGGAAGTGACCATTGCAAGTGAAATCCAGATGTTATTTTCAAATTACAACCCTGCTTCTCCAAGCTAACAGTGTCAAAGATATGATAAATATAAATTATGAAAATTACTTTTTACAAAGAATTACATTTTATATGTTTCAAAACTACTTTCCAAGGGTATATTCAATTTCAGGGTTTTTAAAATAAAACAAATACATGTAAGCATAAGAAAGCTAAAAATTTACTATTCATCTAACTGTAAGATAATATAGAAAAATTTTAAATCATCAAATTTAATTTTATAAGCTTGTTTAAAATTATTTTTTGAAGATTATAAACAGAACCACAGGAATAACTCAATCACTTCTTTCACTGCATTTAACATTTTGTTAGAGCATGGGTAAACTATCAGTTATCCTTTTTAATAAATGTACCTTTACTCTTAATGAGATATTTATAAAAAAAAAATTTAATTTCTACATAACATTTAAAAAATAATTTCATGCATATATATATATTTAAATTTTAATAACTAGATTACTCCAATTATGTGATGAAAATATTCTTAAAACTATATAAGGCTATCGAGTTATTTATTTTCATATTTTTGTCAAGAATTCTGAATCCTGAGAAATTTACGAAAGTGCAGGATTTAATCTTAAAATACGAGGTCCTAACTTATTCTTTAAATTTATAACAAAGCATTATTGCCAAAGTAAAAATAACCTTATCCCATTTGATTACCTTTTAGTCTTTTGTCTTTAAAAGGTACTTTGCGTCTTTACTGAAGGCGCTTGTGCTTTGCGTACTTGATCTGCACAAATTGCTTTGCCCCTTGTGTCTTTACATTTGTCAACTTGACCTTTACCAGATGTCTGGTACTTGTATCTTTACTTGAACCCTTGTACTACCTTGTACCTTTACTTGGACCCTTGCATTAACTTGTACGCTTACGAGTCTAGGACTCTTGTGTTACCTTGTATCTTTATAGAACTTCAGAACCTTGTATTGCCTTGCCTTTACTTGTATCTAGAGTACTGCAATGGTTAAAAGAATTAATAAATGAGTCTAAAAATATTAAAATTTCTCGTGTAAAAATATATAATTTAACGTTACGTGTACACACATACAAAAAATACTGATTTAACATTTTAATGACCAACCAACTACAAGCTTAATGAATCAAATGAAATTAAGATGAGTATACACATGGACATTAATTAAGAACAAAAATAAAAAGTCAAAATAAGCAGGTGAAATTCTAAATGTTCATTTCGGCATTTGGAAGACCACAAATCAAGCGTCGCTGTGAGGGCTGGCACTTCGATGATACCTCTCCTTTGAACGAGAACGTGATCGTGAACGCGAACGACTGCCAGAAAACCTTTTCTTACGGTATCCAGGGCTACGATCACGATAATACGGAGATCTGCTTCTTGATCTACCTCTTCTACGATAATCATCATAACGGCTAGAACCACCTCGATATGGCGATCGGCGTCCTTTCCTTTCTTTACCACGCATTTCTTGAGGCGTTTTTCTATCACCTTGAGCAAATTCAATTTCAAGCTCGCGTCCAAAAAATCGAATTCGATCTAGTTCATTCAAAGCTTCTTCGGCATCGCGAATATCTTCAAATTGCACGTACGCAAATCCACGAGGTCGTCGACTGTAATAATCAAGTGGTATATACACATCGGTAATAGGACCATACTTTCCAAATAATCTTCGTAACTCTTCAGGTCTAGCACTGTCCGGAACATTACGCACAAAGAGCGACGAATTCGGTGGTCGCGAATACCGAGACATAATTCTCCAATTCAATTTATGTTTTCAAGCACACAAAATAGCTCAAACCAGGGTTTCTAAATGCTTAGAAGGTAACACTGTTTTAGCACTAATATGATGCCTATGGAAATTTCAGCAAACTTAAGCACCGACACATAAAATTCCACGAAATGGCGAACAACGCAGATACTTATCTCAGAAAAATCGATTGTGAAGTTAAAGTTATTGCCACCCTCAAGCAATGCTACTCTCAGGAAATATTTATCAGTTTTAATGCAAAGAAAACAAAAAATATAATTTAACTATGTAGGATATTTTTTATTATTATTAGACACAAGTAATGTTTAGTATCATCATTTACATCATCAGTTTTCCTATCATGATTTAATACTGCTGGTTAAAAAAGAAGTGAAATTCAGGCTTATTGAATCTAAAATAAATTAAATTAAATAAATAATTGTAATTTACTGTAAATTGTGATAAATCTTTTTATTTTAATGTTGATACTTTTTTTTAAATTGTATTTTGAAAATTTGTATTAAGAAATGGCAATCTGTTTTTATTTACATTTGTTGCTTATCGCCCGCAAATTAATTCGAGAGTTTGAATCATGAATCTCCATCGCGTTAACACATCATTAAAAGTAAATTTTTGTGAATCTAAATTTATTTCCTGTATTAAATATGTGCAACTGTATTATGGATAAATAAATTAAATAATAAGTATGCAATTCTTTGTAGGTGTTTTATAAACATATACAGAAATCAAATGGAAATTTTGGCACATTTCGCCAGAAACATAACGTAAGTATCTGTTGAATATTGTTGCTTTCGTTGTTTGTTAAATCGTACGTCTAATCTCTTGTTTTTCAAATGCGATATTTTTTTCTGCGAAAGATTGGTTACTTCGGGATACCAACTTTATTACACTCTATTGACTTTTAATTAATGCGAAAGTTAAACTGTGGCACTATAAAAAAAAAAAAAAAAAAAAAAAAAAAGATTTGATAGAAATAATTATAAATCCGACTTAAAAAAAAAGGCATAATTTAATCTAAATTCCATTTATAATTCGATGAAGCGTTTTCACTTTAATACTGATAGTTTTTGTTCGTACATTTGCTTCACATGAATGTCATTCTCCACCATACAAATAGAAAATGCAAGATAACTGCCCTATATTTCTTGTTGGTTTCGCTAACATAACATCATCACCGTGTTTGTTTGAATATGACATAGAATAGCTGTCAGTATTCTGTTATGTATGATCACAGCTGTAAAATAAAAATTTTCTTCAAGTATGAAATATGACACTTTAATTGAGAAATGTAATAGCATTTCTTAAGCTGCTTTTATTGTGGTCAGAATGGGTTATTAGTTATGTGAATAAAATATGATGGGTATGTTGTATCATAATATAATCAATATTCTGATTGACTCTGCCATGGTTAGTTTTATATTTCATCATCAATAGCAGAAGTAGATGTGTATGGTTGCAGTTGCAAAGGCTTTCCAAAGAGTCTGATATTTGGACTAATTATGGTTTAACAGAGTGGGTTTTGTGGCAAGTTGGCTTCAAAAAATTAAATTAAATGGGACCATAAATTTGCCATTGATCACTTTTATGTCAGTATTAAATGTTTCTTTAAAGAAAATAAGGAACTACACTTATATGCGCCCTCAAGTTGCCAAATTTCTTGCCAAACATTTTTGGTGAGAAACTCCACGCTGTCATATTACTACCTAAATTTTTTGTCTACATTTCGAATTTTAAGCCTAAAATGTCTCCCAAAACATGGTTTTCGCATATGCAAAAACCACGTTTTGAAAACACAATTTAAGCTAAAAATCCAACGCAAAAACAAAAAATTTAGATAGCAAAAACATAAAGTTTTTACCCAAAAATATTTGACAAGAATCCATATACGCAGTGATCTGTTTTAACTTCAAAAAACATGTACAACTTGCACATTCTAGGCAACGAAGGAATCTACTAACTATGCACACCTCGCTTCGATAAATTAACGTAACAACAATAAATTTCAAAGAATACCATGTACACAGCATTCTGTTTAAAATTAAAAAAAATATGAATTGCACAATCTAGGCATTGTGCACAAATCAACCAAATAAACTAAACTAAATTACAAATAGTTCAAAAAACAACGATAACAACAAAAATTCATAGTAAAAAAAATGAACATAACATTCTACAAAATAAAAACAGTAAAATAAAATGCACTTACCATGTAACATTTCCCTTCTCTGAAGACCACTTAGTCACCCACCCTAAAAGAACGGACAGAGAACCCTTTGCTCGCCTTGGCCGGAAGAGAGGAGTGGACTTCCCCCCCCTGGTGGCAGCATGGAGGTAAGAAAGGACTACCTCCTTTTTCCTACCTCCATGGGTCGCAGGTGGGAGTAAGAAGAGATTGAGATGTGAAAGAGAAAAGAACGGACGCTGGTTTGCGCGCTCTACTGTAGTGAAAATGTATTTTAAAGTTTTTCTAAATTGTAAGCTGTACATAGGTGTATATAAAGATAAATATTTAGCCTAGACCAGGTCTCGTTTCTTTTGATGGAGATACGACTATGGTACAACCATAATACATTCCTGAATAAAATTTCGCCAGTCACACAATGTCTGTGAACAAAAGTGCCACGATTTTGCTATATCACATGTCATTTTGAGATTCAAAATTTTGAAAGTAATGATAAAAACTTCCTCTCAAGTTAACTTACTACACCAAAACCATAATCCAAATCTTAAACTCCGCTGTCAGCCACATACTTTACCAGCAACCATTTGACTGCAAATCCACACAAGACTATCAGAAATGCCCTTCTTCATCCGAGTTCTCATAGCAGCTCTGCTCCGTTTTAAAAGTCCCACAGAAATTCCAAAAATGCACTTCAGTCCTCATAAACACACCCGTGAACAAAAGACTCGTTAACAACTCCAACATTGTACCTTTTAATACTAAATTTACTTTCCACACAAACTAAAATATGTGACCAAAATCTTTCCAGCACGTCTATCATTACAACATAGGCTATTTCAAAGCACGCACAACACGAACCAACGAGCAATTAAACCACTCCAGCAAAAGATTTTTCAACATCAACAGGTTTGCTATACAACACGCAATAGCTCCAAAAACGAGCACAGAACATGCATCGCCACATTTGGTAAAATTAGGGTGCATATAAGAGTAGAGCCGGAAATAAATACCTGCCATTTTAGCTTGGAAATTCATTTTATTTGATTGCAGAAATAATTTTACTGCTGTTAACTACCATTTTTAATATTTTTTAAATTAATATTTATAACCTGTTTGTAATCTCAGTAATCTTTGTACAGTCAAAAGTCGTTAATTCGGACACCCATAATCCGGAATGATCTATAATCCGGACCTCAAAGCTACAAACTTTCTGCGCATGCGTCGCGTTGACGCGTAAGACCTTTACCGCTGCTAATTTGCGTGTGCGCGTGCGCAAAATACGTTTACGAATGCGCGTTTAATGTATAACGGACGGGATAAGCTAAGCTAAAATTATCTAATTATCTATTTCAGTTAATGTTGTAGATTGCGTTGTTCCTTAATCTTCGAATTGGATCCGGATTATTATTTTTTGCAGACTGTTAGAGCAATTTTTTAAAAGTAAGCTTGAACTTTCGATTATGTCAAATAGAATTTCCGATATATATTTACTAATATGTAAAGGATATACAAAGCGAAAGTATCTTTCGGAGTCCATTAAACAAAAAGTGGAATTGCTGCAAAAAATGGATAAAGTTTATCTAAACTTTAACGTTTGTTTATCTAAACTTTGTTTATCTTTAACGCCGCGGCGGCGTGCATTGAATTGGAAGTTGATCTGTCAGCACTATCCTTATCTTAAGGGCAGATGTTTTTATTTTATTTGGCTTATAATTGCTTACTCAATGTAGTATTTCATCTCGCCTTTGATATGATTTAAATCAAATGCCTCGTCATTATAATTCGCTTCCGATAGCGAAGAAAGTGACAGAGGTTACTGAAAACGAAAAAATTTCGATTGACAAATTAGTCGGTATTCTCGACACAGCAATTATAGGACTTGAAAAGCGGAACTTTGTAACTGAACAAGAAATTATGTCTGTTTATGGAATTAAAGAGAATGTATTATCACATAAAAAACGAAGCAACTTAAACAACTTACATTGAAAGAAATGTTAAATAAAGTAAACAAATAAATATTAAGCTTTTCTTTTTTTTGTAAATTTTGATACCCTTTAGATCATAATTGTTCTTTATTTCGTAAATTACGGTTTCATATTTTTAATTTTATAATTTCTGCATGCCATTTTACCAGATTTAAACTGATGATCTATAATCCGGAATCGCCAAAGTCCCGATGAGTCCGGATTAACGACTTTTGACTAAATGATTTTAAAAATATGTTGAGCTTTAGAACTGTAAAAATAAAATGATATCAGAATTATAATTCTTAACACTCATCTTTTATTTTTATCATCTGATCTAAAACTTGGGTAAAAATATATTTCAAGGTACCCCTTGGCAAAAATTGGCAATTTTTTTGTGCCATTCTTATTTATGTCCAACACATTCCCCGATAAAATGGCATGCAATAATACATAATTAAAACAAAAAATACGTAATCTCAATAATTCACTAGGAAATAACATAAGAAAGGAAATACATGTTATCTAATCTAAGGAGTACAAAAAGGAAATATCAACTTATTTTATTTAAAAATTTCTGTTTCTTCGAATGTGCGATACACAGAACTCCTTAGCAGCATCCAAAAACTATTTAAATTTATCTAAACTGAATTCTGTATACTGCTGTCATTACATTAATTCACAAATGTAAAAATGAAAAATATCCTCTGTACTGCCAGATTGTCAGTAGCATTTCTTTTGAAAATCCCTTTTTATGATATTCCACATACCTTTCATAGTGTTGATGTGAGCTCCATTTTCAAAATCCTTATATATCACTGCATAATTTACTGAGAGGTGAACGAAGACATTTAAATCTTATGCACTAGTCAATCAATGTTTTCTTTCCCAGTCATTCCAAAATGTACAGAAACTTCAGGTTAATCTTACCACCAGCAGGCATTTTATAGTATAAAGCACAAAATAAGCAATGTACTTCCTAACCAACATCCATACCTAAGTAAGCCCTTACAAATACTTTCAGTCAAAATCACTGCAATCATGCATCACGACTAATCACATCATAACAGGGTTTCCATAACATTCAACCAGCTCAGGTTACCATAAATGAAACAACTTGGTGATAATCCAAGGGGTATGCCTAAAATATAGAATAACCAAAACTTATGTAATATGCTGAAGTTTTAGTAAATAAATTAACCTAACTGTTTCAATATAATAGTAATATGAGTTATTCAGTTTAAAAACAGGTCATATGTTTATATGTGGATTGAGTTTAAATAATATAATTTTTATAGGCCTTTTTTTAATAGTTATTGTAATTTTAATTAATTTTAGTTCTCTATTTTGTATTTTTTAGGATGTAGTCATTGCTTCTGCTATCAGAACACCTATTGGATCTTTCCGCAGCTCTTTGGCTCCTTTGACAGCACCTAAGCTAGGGGCAGTTGCTATACAAGGTGCTGTAAATGCAGCAGGTAACAAACAAAAAGTTATTAAAATTAATGTGTTTTGAAATTTGAAATTTCCATTTCATCTGTATTGTAATTTATATAGGCATTCCCAAAGAAGCTGTTCAGGAAGTTTATATGGGACAAGTTTTACAAGCTGGAGCAGGACAAGCTCCTGCAAGACAAGCTGCTCTTGGAGCTGGTAATTTTAAATTATAAATTTCAAGTTTTGGTTTGTGTAAAAACTTTCCAAAAACCACTTATTTTAGATAACAGGCAACAGCAATCAGTGAAGTGCTTAGTTATATTTTACATTGAGCATAAAGAAAAAATAATCACTTTGAAAAATCCTTTATTTAAATTTGAAAAACTGGCAAACTTTTTATCACATTTTTCTTTTTTTTTTCATTTTTTCTTTTTGTGTATATGCTCTACTTATTAAAATTCAAGTAACGAATAGCTGAATGGGTAAGATTTCTGATCACTGATAATTTACCTCATATTCAAATCCTGTCAAATAAGCTGGCTGCTTAGGTGTTTTGATGGTTTTTCTTAGAATATGTGACAGTTTCCCTTAGCTCTGGTGCACATAATGGTCAAACAAGCAAATGTGATAAATTTCAAAATGGTTGTTTTTATAGTATGAATAATAAAAATCAGAACATCCTTAATGCTTAAAGAAATTTCAGCTAAGCTAAAAATCATATCCTTCTTCATGCTGAACATAAATATTTGCTAGACGTACTCTGAAACCTATGTCCTATCTGTGGCCTTTCAAAAATTTGCAAAGCTCATTATAACTTCCTGTGCAAATAATGAAGTAATAATTATCAGGAATTTGAGCTTCTGAGGTAGATTATAGAAATCCACATTTGAACAGTTTCTGCTGAGTGCTCGAAATCAGTGGTAATCAGGCTTTTTAGCACTGCAACATCAAGGTTACAAGCTGACACAGAAGTTAAAGCAGTCAATCCACAATCTAATTTTAATTGCTCAGAAATATCCATTAGATAATATTAAAAATGAAAAAGTTTTATTTATTTATTTATTTTACTTTGTGTGAAACAGATGTTAATGTCAAAGCAAGTACAATAAACTTAAAATCAGCTCTGTCGTTACAAATATTTTGGTGAAAAATTGACTAATATTAGTAATTTATAAATAAAAATGAAAACATGACATATAACACATAGGAAATTTTAAAAAATTACAAAAGGAAAACATTTAATGATACTTCTGGCTCTATATTGCTGAACTTAAGTCTTAAAGGCAGTTGTAAGGCTAATTAGATTAAGTATTTAGATTTTAGATCGAGGAATTGGGAAAATCCCATCTTGCATATATAAGATAAGGCAAATAGTAATAATACCTTTAAAACCGCATTAGACAGTTCTGGATATTTATTTTGAACTTTTAAGCCAAAAACTGCTCAGTTCTTTGAAAACAAATTTTATATCTCCATTAGATGATAACTCAGTTTTTCATTTAAATGAAATAATAATTTTAGGGGCTACATAAATGGTTAGTCTATATTTTAGGGTGCCCCTTGGATTATCGCCAAGTTGTTGTTTCATTTATGGTAACCTGAGTAATTGGATGTTATGAAAACCCTATTATGATATAATTGGTTGCATGACTGTGATGAATTTGACTGATGGGAAAATATTTGTAAGGGCTTAGTTATTGGATGTTGGTTAGGAAGTATGTTGCTTATTTTGTGTTTTACACCATAAATGGCTGTATGTCATAAGATTAATCTGAAGTTTCTGTATGATATAGAAGGAAAGGGAAAAAAGCATTAAATCACTGGTGTGTAAGTAAAGGTTTACTTAGTAGTAATTATAAGTGTCCTATTTGTACGAAGGAAATGCGTATGGTCGAACATAAAGACCATTCAGATGGCATTGAATGGGTTTGTCGCATGATAGGTTCATGCAAGAAATGCCACTGACAGTCCAGCACTATGGAGAATTTTTTTTACTCTTATTTTTGTGAATTTATGTGATGATGGTAGTATACAGATTCTAGTTCAGATAATTTTTGAAAGTTTTTGGATGCTGTTAAGGAATTTGTGTGTCACAGACTAAAGACATAGAAATTTCTCAATAAGTTAAATTGATATTTCCTTTTTTAGTCTGTTGATGAGATAGCATGTATTTTCTTTTTTATGTTATTTCATTGTTTGATTTAAAATGCAGTTTTTTGAGATTATATATTTTTTGCTTTAATTGCGTTTTATTGCATTATGTTTTGGACACCATTTTACTGGGGAGAGCATTGGACGTAAACAAGGATGACGCCAAAAAATAACCAATTTTTGCCATAGGATACCCTAGAATATATTTTTACCACATAAACTGGAAAGGATATTGAATTTATCGAGTCCAAATCTTCCAGAAAATATGTATTAAGATCTGTTAAGTGAGTTTTTAGATCTTTATTAACCCATTCACGACGGGCATCTCTGTTACTGAAGCATAGTCTTGGAACGGTACGTTAACCAGATGCGTCGTCTTGCGGGGGCAATTCACGCTGCTAAGCGTAACTTTGGAAAAAAATTAAATTTTTGGAATTGGAACAATTTTTGGTACATTATGAGAAGAATATTCAGGTAGTTGTCAAAATTAATTTTAAAGCTTTATTATTATATTATCCTTAAACATTTTTTAAAATACTCATGTAGAATAAAAAATTTTCCCCTTATCCCACAAATAAATATATATGGAAAAATATCCAAACAATCGCAAATTTAATTTAACACTTCACGCAATTAAAATTAAAAAATATTAAAACTGTCTTTCATAAAAATTCAACGAGCAAACAATAAAAAGTAAGCAATATTTCAAAATGAGACAGTGTATGATATTCTTTGAAACGGGTGAACGCAAGGTCCAACGTTGCATATGTCACAGGAATATAACATATGCTGCTATTTTACTCAGCAAATTTGAATCATTTAGCATTTGCATATGTTCTACGGTCAGATAGTGCTTTCGTTTTGCCATTTGAAGGTAAAAAAAAAAAAAAAAAACTTTCGCTAAGCATCGTCTTAATGCCCGAAAACTCAAAGAGTAATAAAAAAGTCTGTAATGATAGAACATCTACTACACTATGATGGGATAAAATAAAAATAAGAAATGGTTAATCTTTGGATTATGGTAACTTGGCATTTTTTTGGCGGAAATTTGGCGACCCAACCCTGCTACAGCAACTTGCTAGTTTTTTTTTTGGACGCTATTTTGTTTTCACAAAGTAAAGGCATGTTTTTTTTTTTTTTTTTTTTTTTTTTTTTTACTCAACATTTTTTTTTCCAACAATCTGCTAGCTGATTTACGCTTATGCTAGAACTTTTATGGAACAAAAGTGCTTAATCATGACGAAGATTAGGTGGGAAATTGGGACAAAGTGTAGAATCGCCTACTGTTTGCCGCGTTTTTAAGAACTGCACATACACGGTATCATCCATGTACACGTCGACCTATTTTCACTTAAAAAAAAATCCCAGAATTGCACAAAAATGGCATTGCACACACTCTTGACTTTATCCATGTACACTGCTAAAGTCCTAGCTAGTAACCTTTATCGCCTTACCAAAATGTCGCCAAACTACCTGTTACCATATTCGAGAGATTAGCCAAATTAATAAATTAAATTAAAAGTATTCCAGAGCATCGAGAACATGTTCATTTGTTTATATAAAATGACACAGTAAGAGCAATTACATTGCTCAACACTAACGAATTAGCATTTGTGTATATTCTATGTTTAGATATTGCTTTCATTTGCCATTAAAAAAAATATGTTTCGCTGACAATAAAAAATATTCATCTCAAAGCCGGAAAAATCTAAGAGTAATTAAAAAAAACTCTAATGATAGAACATCTATCCCACTATATCGCAGAAATAAAAATAAAAAGTACCTCAAAGCAGCGAGAACACGTACATTTGTTTATATCAAATGACCTAATTAAAGAGACATTACATTGCTCAACACCCACCCACGAATCTCACTCTCATTCCGAAACAAAATACCGAAAATAAAAAACATTGCCTATGAATGAAGGTAAATGTACTTAATTTTCGATATATTTCACCATAACAGACATACATCTACATCTAGCGGCAATAAAAAATACGGTACTTACATATTATCGCAACCAGGTTGGCGCGATTTGTAAGTTTGAGTAAAAAAGTATGAATAGAAAGAAAATGTACATTTATTAATTACAGATAATTTTTAATACAGTTTTTTTATATTATTTTGTTTACCCTACTTACGGCAACCTTATGTTAATTTATTAAAGCGAGGTGTGCGTAGTTCGTAGATTCGTTCGTTGCCTACATTGTGCCATTCGTAGGTGTTTTTTTAAGTTAAAACATGTCGCTGTGTACATGGATTCTTGTCAAATATTTTTGGTTAGAAACTGTACGTTTTTGCTATCTAAATTTTTTGTTTTTGTTTCAGATTTTTAGCTTAAAGCGTGTTGTCAAAACGTAGTTTTTGCATGTGCGAAAACCGCATTTTTGGAGACATTTTAGGCTTAAAGTTCGAAATATAGACAAGAATCCATGTACACAGCGACATGTTTTAACTTATAAAAACATCTACGAATGGCACAATGTAGGCAACGAACGAATCTACGAACTACGCACACCTCGCTTTAATAAATTAACATAAGGTTGCTGTAAGTAGGGTCGCCAAATTTGGTGATTTATGCGAATTTTGGCCTGGTTGCGTTAATACGTAGGTACCAAAAATACTAATTAAATGTTCTATCTAAAAAGTCAAATGTGGTATGCCCGGCCATAAGAGGGAACTAAATGGCGATTCAAATATGACACACCCAGCTCTGAGATAATGTTTGCTGCTGATGTATATATGACATGCCCGTACTGAATGGGTTAAGGGAATGAACAACTTTTAGTTTTTTGCTGTAATAAAACCTTTTTAAAGTAGGAAATGTTGTAAAATTATCTTCTTGTAGAATCAGTCACGAATCAGTTTTCTTTGTAATTGCTTTGCTTTTATCATTAGCTATAAATATATTTAATTTTTCTCTTTGAGAAACTTAAATTCAGGTCATTCAGTTTGAGAAAAATATTACATAAGTAAGCTAACCTAAATTAGCCTTTCTTCATCAGTTAAAAAGTGTAAAAAAATTTCTATCGCCATCGTCATTCAAAAACACAAGTACTTCATCT